AAAAAAAAAAAAAAAAAAAAAGAGGGGCAAAGGTCACCCTATGGACATGAAAGCTCCACACTGAGGGTGATGGGATGGCCACCTTTGGGGGATAACATTCCTGCAGATACTTTTCAATGTGTGTGAGGGAGGGTGTGCTCATTTGCATGCACAAGTGGGGGCACACCTGTGTGCATGCACGTGTGAGTGTGTGCATTGCTTTTGGAGACAGGGTCTCTCACTGAACCTGGAGCTCATCCGTTCCATTGCTAGACTGCCTGCATGTCAAGCTTCAGGTTTCAGCCTGTGTTTGTTTACCTTCCCAGCATGGGAATTGCAAGTGCATGCCATCGTGTTGGACTTTTCAAAATAAGGGTTCTGAGGAGCAGACTCGGGTCCTCATGCTTGTAAGGCAAGTACTCCATGGATGGAGCTATCCCCTGGCCTCAGGCACTTGCCTTCCCTCCTGCCAAGTCTTTCCAAGAATTTTAAAGGTCAGAAAATGTTACATAAGATTTCAGGCTGCACCGGGTATGCAACCTTTAATCCCAGCACTCAGGAGGCAGAGCCAGGTGGATCTCTGTGATTTAGAGGCCAGCCTGGTCTACAGAGTGAGATCTAGGACAGGCACCAAAACTACACAGAGAAACCCTGTCTCAAAAAACAACAAAACAAAAAATGAACATTGTGAAAGATTTCAGGTTGCATTTTAAAATGTTTACATCTGGGCATGCTGGGTGCTTCTTCCTTGAAGAGAACCATGGGTTGGAGGTCATTGAAGGGAAGGAAGCTCTGCCATAGGACAGGACACCCATGACCAGGATACCTTCCACAGTGCTCTCTAGTTACCTCGTCTAGACCTGTCATACCATGGAACCAAATCCTTTTAGCCAGTCTCCAGAAGCACAGATTCGGTGACTGTTAGCCTCCCCTCCAAACCATTCCCACAAAACTGCCCCAGAGCCCTATCACCTGGCCCTTCAGGGTTTAATGTCCTGTTGGCAGTTGCTAACTTTCATTCTCATCCTGCTTTGTGAACTCATTTGGCTCTCGATGTGTGTTCCACAGTTCTGTCTCTGGCCCAGCCTCAGTTCAGCCTGTGACATGGGCACCCTATTTAGTGTTTTGCGTGTACCATCCTGGGACATTCCCATCCATCCAGGGATTTGGCTTTGCTCTGTGTGGGAACTGAAAGCTATTGTTCTCTCATTGATCTCGTATTGCGTGAGACCCTGTCCAAGGAATTTGAATGTGACAGACTTTACTGTATGTTATGGGAGGGTACCTGTGCAAGTATACATGTGTGTTCAGACGTGGAGGCCAGAGGATGATTTCACGCTCTATTGTGTCCTGCTCTATTGCTGGGCCCTTCACTAACTGAACCTGACTAAACTTGGAGCGTGTCAGTTTGAGGCTAGGCTGGATGGCAGGCATGCCTAAACAATTCTTTTGTCTTGGCCCACTACAGTGCTGGGAACACGCCTGGATTTGCCTGTGTGAAAGACATGCACATGTAAGATGATGTAAGGGGAGGGCCTTAATTGTCCCAGCTGAGCCTATCATGGACCAGAATGTAGTTAACCAAGGCCATATTAAAGAGTCCAGCTCAGGTTATCAGTGCCCTGCCCAACATGCTTGAACAAGCCCCAATGATACCACATTTGTCGTGCTGACCCATACATAGACTAGTGAACAACAAGAAATGCCCTGCTCCTACAACACAGGAAAAGTGAAGGAAGAGGGGGCAGAAAGATCCTCAGAGCCAAAAGATCAGGATGCCTGCTGCTATCTAGTGTCTTCTAGACTTGACAGGGAAGTCGCAGCCATGGAACCTCTAGTTCAACGGTTACCTGAACTAGACGTACATAATGACCACACAAGTTGACATGGCAGTGTGGGGTGTGTGAAATTTCACGGCCTCACACCTAGGTGAAGAGCTATAGGCAGCCAATGGTTGCCAAGAGAGGAAGATTCTGTTTCCCAGGAACCAACTCCCGGATAGATTATTCCCTACCAAGTAGTCATCCCTAAGCACGTGTACACGAGTGACACAAATGGGCTCGATAAATTGTGTGTGTGTGTGTGTGTGTGTGTGTGTGTGTGTGCGTGTGTGTAACAATAACAATTGGAGAAGAGGTCATGGATTTGAGAGGGAGGTGGGCAGAATGGGAGGAGTTAGAAGGAAGGAGTGGAAATGGTGTAAATACAACACACATATATGAAATTCTCAAAAAAATTAAATAAAAATATTCTCAGAGGGGGGGAAATGCCCATTGTCCAGGCCACTGAGGTGGCAAGCAGGCACAGTCCTCAAGAATGGTTGACACATTCAGTCACCCCTCTAGTGGAGTTGTAGTTGTGTTTAAGATACACATTTCAGGATTGGAGACATGGCTCAACAGTTAAGAGTGCTTACTGCTCTTGCAGGGGACCCATGTTCGGTTCCCAGAACCCACATGGTAGCTCACAACCATCTGTAACTCCAGTTCCAGGGGATTGCATGTGGTGCACATACAGGCAAACATCCACATGCATGAAAAATAGATAAAAATTTTAAAAATATGTTTTTCTTGTGAAAGATAGGCAAATAGAAAGAGCTTGAGTTGGTACACACTTAATATGCTTTGAGATATATTTGTTGTACATGTGACACATCTGTGTATATGTGTGGTATATGCCTGTGTGCACATATGTATGTGCAGGTGTGCTCCCCCATCTGTGTGCATGTGGAGGCCAGGGGAGGATTTCGGGTGTCTTGCTTTACTCATTCCTTTGAGGCAGGGTTTCTCAACGACTCTCAAGCCCTCCAGTTTTAGGCTAAATTAGCTGGCCAGTGAGTCCCAGTGCTCCTTCTTCCTCTGTCCTCCCCACCAGCCACCAGCACTGGGCTTTCAGATATAGGTGGCCATGTCTAGCCTTTTCACATGGGTGCTGGGGATCTGAACTCAGGTCCTCCTGCTTGCGCTGATTCCCTGCACCATATCCCCTGGCCCTTTCACATTTTTTAAAAAATATATTTTGAGTTGCCCAGGATAAAAAGAGAAACAAAAATAAAGGAAATAATTGAAGGGTTGTTTTAGGATAGGTCGATTTGATTTTAGAGAAAAAAAAAATGTCTCATCTAAAAATTGAATGTGTTCTGAGGACATCCAAACCCAATGTTTCTGTTACAAATGACATTCTAAGCCCATTTCCACAAAGGCAAGGGGTCTAGGACTGGCATGCAGCAAATATTTCCAACAACCCTTGCATTTACTGTTGCTTTGAGGTCTCAGTGCCGAGCTGTGAGTGGAAAGAAGGCTCAGCCGTGGACCTCAGAATGTTGGCAATGCCTGGCAGATACTTATCTGAGCCACACGCATTAGGAATCTGGGATGGAACCGCCTAAGAATAGCCAGTCTCACGAAATTTCCAATCTCTCTTGTTTTTGGCAGAACTTAAAATTCCTTGGAGATGGCTCATGTCGAAAGACTTCTGTGTGGTGCTGGCCAGCACCAGCGGGGAAAGCGGCCTGGGGAAGGAACGCAAACCAACGTGGCTGTGTGTTTTCACGCCTCTGAAAAGGTCTGGGTTTGGCTCCAACCAGGAAAGAGCGCTTGAGGTTTGTATTCCGTGTGCCAGCTTTTTCAAATGCCTTTCACCTGACTCAGGAGGCTTTGAACATCAGCAGAAACCAAGGGAGTGAATAAACTTTGAATATTCTTGATGTTCAGACATACTTTGAACAAGACTTCTTGCTGGGAGAAAGAACAGGATACTGCTGGAGCAGGATGTTCTCACACACCCCTTGCTGGGGAGCAGAGGGCAGTGTCATCTGTTGGTCAGAAGTCCCTGGTGCTGGTGTAGACTGGACTTGCTTTGTCTGTTTAGATGGTTGAAGAAGTGAAATGAATTGGGGGCCAAATTACCTACTGCGGTCAGCGTACCTTCTTCTCCAGAACAACCTACCATTTGATCCTTCTCATGGTTGGGTGTGCTATGCCCACCCCACTGCGCTGGAAGTACTTCCACCTCTTGTATGACAAATTCCACTTCTCACCCAAGCCCAGTTCAGACACCAGCCTTAAGTTTGCCAACCATTGCAAACTGCTTTTAGCTTTTGTGCCTAATTACATGATTGTATTTTAAAGACAAAATTCTGTTCTCAGTACATCACCTGGGGCACCGTAGAAGCTTGATGAGTGCACCGTAGAAACTTGATGAGCAGGATGGCCTCACAATGCCCCACTGTAACTATATTTCCCTTTCTGTACCAGGAGAACTTCCCACCAACATTAGATTCATCCTTGTGTGGCTATTCTTGGTTGTCAGCTTGATTACATCTTTAAACCCCAAGCAGCTGGGTATACCTGTGAGGACTTTTTCTTAATTAAATAATTTGAACTACGAAGACCTACCTTTAATCCAGATCTTTTGAGAGGAGACGACCCACCTTAAATCTAGACCACACCTTCTGCTGGCAGCCTATATAAAAGACATGGAAGAAGGACACTCTTGCCCCTGGCCTGCTTGCCTTTGCTCTCACTGGCAAGTCCATCCCTTCCCTGGCATTAGAGCCTACTTCTCTGGGATTCCAATGTATACTGGAGACAGCTAATACATCTAGCTTCATGGACCGAAGAACTAATGGATTCTTGAACTTTCCGTTGGTAGACAGCCATTGTTGGACTAGCTGAACCAAGCCTGTAAGCCATTCTAATAAAATCCCTTTATCTGTCTGTCTGTCTATCTATCATCTATTTGTCTGTCTATCTATCTATCTATCTATCTATCTATCTATCTATCTATCTATCTATCTATTTATTTATCTATCTATCATCTTCATTCCATCATTCTGTTCCTCTAGAGAACCCCGACTAATACAATCCTTATCTTTCAGTCCCATATTTTACAAACCACTTGTTATTCCCAGAGTGACTTTTGTTCCAGAAGCTTCTGTCCATCCTCACTAAGATCCTTAGCATTCTGCCATCCTTCCCTTGTACTAATATAGAAAGTGAGTACCGCTTTCCCACCCACTGGCCCATGCTTTGGTGCTAATTTTAAACAACCTCACATTTGCACTTCGGCACCAAATGACTCCTCTGATGTTTAACTGAGGTGTTACTTGATGTGGAGATGCAGAAGCCTTTCCTCATGAAGCTCAAGAGACAGCTGCCACCTGATTCAGTTTATTCTTCAGGGTGCCAGTGGCTGGCAACTTCATCAGATTATAGCCTAAGAGCACCTTAATGAAACCAAGGTCAGGGGTCACACTCTGGCCCAGTTAGCATGACTGTTTCTTATATTTCCTTTTCCAGTCCCCTCCACACAGGCAAGTCTCGCAAGAATCAGTGTCAACTAGCAAACAGTGTCCTGAGAGCAGAGTTCAGACAAGGCTTGCTGAAAACCCGCTCTTAACTCTGAAGAACCCAGCTGAAAGGAGTATGCTCTGGTGTGCACACACATGTATGCACAGGAGGGACTTTTTAAAATATGTGAGCAAAAGTGAGTATATGTCTCTTGCATGATTTCAATAGCATGGATTGTCCCTGTGCGGTGGAAAGACCTTCCCGCCAGCATTTAATGCATCGGGCCACACAGTGCTGCTTGAGCCCAGATGTTCAAGACCTGGGCTGGAGGCTCCACAACACGGATTGCGTTACCTCAGGGTCACCCCACACCTCACGCTCCCTGCTCAGCTGTGTTTTGTTACGGCTTTAACAGAGCAACGATGTGTTTCCACAGTCGAGTCCGGTATTGGATGACATGCCGGCTGATTTTGGTGGTTTGAGCAGACCGGTAGGGGGTTATACAAACCAGAGCAGTTTGCCTTCCCCACAGTAAGAAAATATGTTAAGAATTACTGCCGATGATCAAGGCATCGCTCTCTCCCTCCTTCACTGTCTCCTTTGCGCCTCTCTCTCGTTTTAGCCTCCAATATTTTTAAAGTTTTTTTTTTTTTTGTCACTTTTATGGTCTCTGAATGTCCCTCTGATCTAGTCTAGAAGGAGACTCTTAACTTTAATTGCTTTCTTATCTCAGCAAATGCCCCTTGAAACTTTGTTCTTATTCCCCCCTCTTTCCCTTTTTCTCTATTCCAATCCACTGAAAACAACCCAGGTCATAAAACTGATAACATTCCTAATGTAAAAGAAAGAAAGAAAGATAATCGATGCAGTTTAGATAAGGTGAAAGAAATAACGAAGTAAAAGCCTGTATGGAGCGTGGCCAGCCGTTCATCTGTTTGTGTTAATAGGTTCCAGTCACGGCACGGCAGGCACAGGACGTCTGTTTGCCACCGCACTTAGCAAGCACAAGAGCTTAAAAATAAACTTTGACAATGTAGATCTCTTTGTCCGTTCAGGAATGGAAAGCATTATGTACTTCAAAGCACAGTAAGCCCGATCTGAAAATATAGTTTGTGCTTGTGTTACTGTGGCTATTGGGTGGGACTTGAAGCCGCACAAGGCACATGGATGCTTTGTGTGTAAATAGTACAGCAGACGACACAAGCTAGCAAGAGCAAACGATACTAGCAACTTTGATAAGCCCATTCATAAGGAAGGAGCGTCTGTCTTTTAAGTTCTCAGGAACAACTGGGATATGATTCCTCATTTTAATCAGGGTTTTCTTCCTGAACTAAACTGCAAAAACAGAGGACTTGAGTAGCACATTTCACTTGCACAGAGCAGCGTTTGTTCATTTTGAGTGTTTTTGGACAGGAAATCGATCTACAGGGTAACATTCACACACAAAAAAGAAACAGTATGGGACCATGGCTTGCTACTTCAAGTGACTCTGTTTTGGACATTACGGACAAGAAACCTCGGAGGAAGAACAGCGTAAAAGATCAAAAGCATGACAACTCCTGATGAAAACATCTCCAAATGATGAACCCACGAGTGAAGAGGAACTTCTACCGTAAGTATCCTTGCTGTAATCAAGAGTCTTGTTTGTTTAAAAAAAAATGTAGGGCATGCTGTTGAGTAGATCAGAAAAGTGTTTGATGTAGGTCTTCATTTGCAGACTAGTCTATAATTAAACTCCAGCAGAAGGGTCGTGGATGAAATGCCTTCCATGATTCTGCAATGATGGAAGAAATTGAAGGTTGATTTAGAGCGCCTTGTATGGCAGGCACATCGCTCCAGGCTTTCTTGTGTGATGTGTTATTCTGGCAATACATGACCTGTCAATGTATATCTGTAAATTACACTGAATCTGCATGCTGATGGTTTAAACCCTATGACTTTGATTTCATGTCGCTCATCCTGTAATCAAAGCATGCATGTATAGAGATTCATGCAATACTATCAGGATTTAGAGAGAATCTGGACTATTTCCTGGGTGAATCTTATTTATCTATCTTATCTTCCTGCTGGGAAGACACATTTAGAATCTGTGAATGGGCAAGGAGAAGGTGTCACCACACAGAATAGACTTCTTTGGAACTGACACCCGGATTCCTTTTGTATTTCCAAAGTTTATGTCCAGAGTAGTCAACGAGTCACTTGAGACTAAGACTTCTCATTTCTAAGTGTGCTGACGTGCTCTTACAAATGTGAACCAAGCCTATGAAAACCATATCTCTGTGCAGATATTAACTCTGGCAAGTTTCACTCTTAAGTGTTGACCACAGAGCAGATTTAGATGTAGTAGTCAGTTTTGAGTGTTGAACAAAGTCTGTTGCCAAGTTAATTGGAAGATAAATCTCGATTCACCGAGTAAATTTATTCATGAGTGTGATTGAGCTGCATGTATCAAAGGATTATATAATAAGGGAATTACATTATATTGCCTTTTCCAGTAAGGGGTTTCTTTAAAAGTCAATTTTTAATTCACTGCCACTTTGGTTACTCTTCTTTTGATTTATTATTTCTTTGGAAGAGTGTCACCTGGGAACAGCTCAGCCAAGCATACCTTGTTTCCAGTCTGTATGTAAGGTCCTGGTGCCAGCCTGTGTGCTGGAACATTGGATAAGTTAGCGTGTTAGGACCTCCCTCTGCTGAGGGTGAATAGACAGGCTGAGATGCTGACTGTGTCCTCCATTGGACTGATCATCTTTTAGCTGTAAGGGGTGTGAAAATAAACTGAGATATGAATGGATAAAAGGGTCCTTGGAGTCCAGAGTGACAAGAGGAAGTCACCCAGTGGAAGAGAGGCACAAACTCGTCCATGATGCTGTCACCTTCTTCACAATGCCAGACAGCACCATTCTGGCACTCTGGTTTTCCCCTCTGGCGCACTTGGCATAGATGTTTGTTAATTGAACCTGCCCCTCTCTACTTTAAGTAGAGAAGAAGAATGCTGTACATGTGTTAGAAGTGGTGGTGGGATCCTTGGAGTAGGAACCAGGAAAAACTGTAACTGAGCAACGGTCATCAGAAGGTGAAACACTTTGGGATAATTACATGTAGCTTCGGGGTGAGCTTAAATTATAGCATGTATAATATCATATATAAAAATGGCTAAGCTTAAATTATCCCTTTAGTTGTTCAGTCAACTTAGATATGACTTTCACAGGTACCATTACCAGGTAGAAATTCTAACTAGAGTAAGACAGTCCCTAGCAATAGCCCTGCAGCTCTTTTAGGGGTTCGTACTTTGTCAGGCCAGAGTCATCTGGAATTGTTATACACACTTCTGGAATCTCAATCAAGAAATGATGCAACAGTCAGGGAGTTCTCACACTGGTCCCGGCCTGTGAGGAAAAGGAGAGGGCGGTGTGTCTCTGTGGTTCTGGAGCTTTCCACCTGGGAGTCGGGGACACGAGTTCAAAGCCAGTGTCAGCTGTTCAGTGAGAGCTGATCTCATCCACACTAAACAAAACAGCCACAGAATTGGGGAATATCTTCAACCAGAGGAAATAGGTGTAACCCTGCACAGCTCAGCGGCAAGAGAGGCTATGGGTAGCCGATGATAATTTTGATTTCTCCCATCAGCAATAGGACACCAGAAGGTCCATAGGCAGAGTTGTACAATGTCTGTTGTAGTGAGAAGGGTGGGTGTTGACCACTGTGGGAAGTGGGTGTAAAAGAAGGAGGGTCAGGTATTTTGAGTCAGACAACTATGTGTTAGAATTCCAGACCTACCATTTATCAATGGTAAGGTTTTGGGAAAACTTCCTAAGTGCTATTTCTAGCATCTTATATGTAAAACAAGATGATATGACTTCTCATACTTGTGAAGGTTGAATTAGATCACTGTGTTGGTTGTCTGACAGGTAGTAAGTGTTGTTAGGATGTTTAAATTATACAAGCTTCATGGGTCTTTAACTTTTGTGTTCTGATAATCTGATATTTGGGGCTATTTAGCCCCAATTCTTTGGTTGAACTAAAGACCAGTCAATGGCACAAGCTGATAAAATATCTGTTCTCTGAGTACTGGTCAGCTAAGACACAAAAAATGTCAAGCAAAGCTCAAAGTACAATAAGAGAAGGAGCACCAGGCAGGTGTAGTGGTTCAAGCCCGGCATTCTAGCTCTTGGGAGACTGAGGTAGGAGGCTCATCTTCGGTTCCAAAACATCTCAGACCACAGAGTGAGACCTTGCCTCAAAAAACAAGCACAACAAAATGGAATTAATAAGGCAATTAGGTTGCATGAATTAAAAACAATGAAGGCTTTTCCAGTTGTTTTCCAGGCAAGGGGCAAAATTCATTTGCTTATGGCCTTGATGCTTATAAGACCATGCACTCAGTTGACTGTTGTTACTCAATTTCCCCCTTCAGTGTTTACACATAGCCTGTGTACTCATCTTAGGAACCCTGCTGTAGCTGGTGGTGCAGATATTAGCAGCAGAAGTGACCTTCTGCAAACTCAAGGGCTAAAAATGTTTCCTATGGCATCTTTCCACAGTGCTTGCACAAAGCAAAGATTTCTGTGGGTAACGTATTTTGATGATTCAATTTATCGTGTCTTCTTGTTCCAAGCACACGTGCAAAGCACTTGGGCAGGACCACAATCCTCGCATTGCTGCTCAGGCTCCCACATCCCAGATAGGAAATAACCCAGTGGTTAGAATTTTCAATTGGGAAAAAAAAAATCACTGGCATGTGGGCATGGCCATTAAAAATATGATCTTGCATCTGTGTAGTATCATTTTCTTTCCCACAAACCTCCACATTGATGAGCTTGTTTTTTGTTATTCCTGTTGTGGAAATGGAGGTTATACTTCATCTTCTGCATGGGGTAAATAAATGCAGAAATGAAGTATAATTGTTGAAGCAGACGGTTGGGTGGGAAGCGGTGAAACTTAGCACATTGGGGGGATTTGTTTAATGGCTTCATGATCCTCTCTGATTTTTACCCAGAAGTATTTGATTCATCTCCTGCTCTCACGTGTTAACAGGAATCTTAAACTTGATCTCTAATTAACACTAATTTTGTGTTACACCACTCACAGAGGCCCACCCATCACACACAAAGACAGTACAGTGTAACTGGGTTCAGTCCAAGTCAAGGATTCAGAAGTAGCCAAGTGTCTGAAGTCATGGTCCTCTTCACATAAGGAGGATGAGAGTGTCCATGTCCGTTCATTTGTTTCTTATTTTACAATTCCTGTTGTGATCACTATCCTCCAAGCAAAACAGCTGCCATTTTTATTAGTGCCTGCTCATGAGCGATCGTCCACTCTCAGGCTTGTTGACTGTTGACACTGCTTCATATGAGGGAGTAGGGAGTGTCCCCAGACCCTCATTTGGGATTCCAGTGCTCTTTCCAGCCATTTGTATGCAATTGTGCCCATTACATATGAGTTCACAGAAAGTGCTAGAGTATGTACATAGGGTGGGGAGGTTGAGCCTCCATCTCTGTGGCTAAGGGCAAGCCATCAGCCATGCTAGGTGAAGGCTTCCCAGTGTAGCTGCTTTGGGGTCATCCATGCTCTTTTGGGCAACCCCTCGTCTGTGACCTATAAATAAGCCAATGAGCTCATTGGTTCCTGAGGTCTAACTTGGGCAGTATTGTATTTTAATTTGTTGTTGGTACAGAGGAGAAAGTAGACATTCCACACTACTCATCAGGGAAGGAATTCTTGTAACGAGGCCCTGGCTGTGCTCTGGGCTGTCTTTTCTTGGGGGTGATATGACACAGAGTTGGACAACTATAGAGTAAGCACACATCTGGGATTGTATCTTAAGTGGGCGGTGACAACAGCTGGCACTCTGCCCCACTGCTCCTTGGAGGCCATTAACTGCCTCTGACAGGTACAGGGTTTGAGGCTCATGTCATAGACTTTCTGATCATTTCAGTCTAGCAGCTTGATGTTTTCCTCGTGTAAGCTGAGGAAGCTGCAGTTTATAGGTGCAAGAGAAAAATAGGGAACTGTAAGAGCAGGGCTGAGTATCTCAGACAGATTAACAACTGGTGGTTGTGAAATGTAACGTGTTGATTTTGTATCAGTCACATTGTCTAAGACTTTTCTTTGTGTACATGTGTTTGAGAGAGACTTGTGTGTTTACAAAGGCCAGATGACAGTCTCAGGTGTCTTTCCCCAGGGCCATCCATCCTGACCCTTTTTTAGATACTGGCCTTGAACTCACCAAGTAGGTGAGTCAGCAAGCTCCAGAGATCTACCTGTCTCTACCCCTCTAGCTCTTGAATTAAAAATACATGCAACCATATCTGGAAATTTCAAAAATCTATATTATTTTTAACTGTCTGTGTGTGTCTGTGTGTGCCTGTGCACACACATGTGTGTTTATTACTCAGCTGCTTACAAGTGCCGCTCATATCAGAATAGCTAAGGAATAAAATATCCCTACCCCTAGAAACAAACATCAACAGGGGTGGGACTTGCTTGTCATCTTGTATGCTTATTTGCCTGAATATCCTTTTTTTCTGGAAATGCCTATTCAAATCTTTGCCCATTAAAAAAAAAAAAACCCTGGATATTTGTCAAGTTTTTATTGATGGTTTTGAGAGT